GCCCTACTCAGAAGCAGAGCTGCAAGAAGAAGAAGAAGCTTCTAGTAGCCGAGTCCGTGAACGTCCCCCTATAAAAAACCCATTTATTTTATCTGAAGCTTCAGAAGAACGACCATCTAAAAAACAGCGCAAAGAAAACCAAAACAATAAACATTAAAGTCTGAAACATATATTTTCAGATGATTTTTACTGTTCGTCCTTTTTATACTTCGACTTGTATATGTTTTGGTTTTTACCAATTTACAACTAATAAATACTCGTATTGAGCTCAATCACTGTTTTAACATAAATAGCTTCAGGCAAATAAACTAGTAGACGCAAACCAAGTGTTAATTCAAACAAATGTGTGAAATCCTTAGGCTTGTTTTGAATAACAAACTTTAATAGCATGACAAATCTTTGACGAAAAGAAAGAAAGCCAGGAAATGATATCCACATGAAACTAGGACGAAAAAAGAAAAGTTCAGGAATTAGGACGATTAATTTTAATTATCGCGGGAAAAGGGACCGCTTTCAAAGGAATTAGAAGGAATTATTGTATCGCGTCCCGGTTGTTGAGCTCAGCTTAACAAGATTCTAAGGAGGGGGTCTTTTACTTTAGGGGTGGGAACTTGCGATCATTTACAAAATCCTAGGATAGGGGTCCTCCAAAAAATTAAGGACCCCTTTCCTAGGATTTTGCTTTACGTGAGGACCCCCCCCCCCCTTAGGAAGGACCCCCCCTTAGGATCCGGGACACGATACAATACTACTGATCAGCCAAAAACAAAAGAGCGTAGAACGAAAGAACAGACAGAATAAGATCATCTGCTCCTATATAAAAACTGCTCCTTAATCGGTATTGAAAAACTTTTAGTCAAAGAATTTTTGAATACCATAAAATTTTGACAGTATCGAAAATCAAATGTCAAAATTTGGGAAGTGCAAAATGATTACGACTGATTAGCTTGCCTCAATTCAATTTGAAGCGATTTTATTGAGCAAAATAATCGCCATGCATAAATAAATTGCGTTATGCTATCAGCATCATATGTACAATCTTCAAAGCACGTATAGATTAGCCCAACGCATTCTGAACCCCTAGAAATTTACAAACAAAAACAATAATTAAAAACTCTTTTTTAATTTGGAGTCGATATCTTCAATGGTGCATATTTTATTGGTAAAACTATCATTGCGAGGTTTGAATCAATAAAAAAACAATCAAGCTTAATTATTCAACATTTTTTTGAAAAGTGGAGACAAGAAAACGTTATGAAATTTCTGACATCAGCGTTTTCAGACCAATTCAAAAGTTTTGATTGAAAAAATGCTCACATAATCTATAAAAAAAAAACATTTCGTTTTCATTTTTTTTTCCACATTTCATCCCATCTCACACAATGCTGGTTTCATCGTCTCGTAGTTTTACCAACAAGACCAAAAATTTGCCTCAATTCAATTTGAAACGATTTGTTCATTAATAATTTTTATCCGTTTTTTGATCCTTAGATCAGAAATCTGATCCTCTGAAATGTATATTAATACATTTCATATTATAAGTTTTTCGATCCTTAGAAAAAAAAACAGACAGTGTTAAAGCAAGGGCACGCGAGGTCAGTAAATTAGCTCAACTAAAAAAATTGAGAACAGTTTGTGCTGGTCCTGGTATAATTAAATTTATAAAAAAAAACTTTTTTTTATTAATAAATTTGCAGTTCTTTTTGCACGAAATTTGAGTTCATTTTCTTAGTGTGTGAGTTCATTTTCTTAGTTCACTTGAGATTTTTGACGAGATTTTTGACTTCTTAGTTCGTGAGTTCATTTTCTTAGTTCATTTGAGATTTTTGACATTGTCTAGCACTCTTCACTTTATGTCTTCTTTTGTCTGTGAGTGTTTAAGGTTTAAGTTTTTTATCTCTTTTTGTTTTGTTTCAGCCGCAAAACCAAGTACCACAAGTAAAAATTGCAATGGGTCGAGTGATATATTATATTAAAGCGTTTTTATTCGTTAACAAAATAAACTGTTGTCCCATGGTTGAGAAAAACTGGTTTTAAGTTTTTGAGTTTTAGTTTTTTTTCCAGCAATTAAAGCTTGCGTGTAGGCCTTAAAAAGACCTATTTGTCCAAAATTAGACTAAAAGTTTTACTCTGAGTAGTGAAAATTTACTTTTGCCTGTCTTTCGAACCTAGTTTACAGATAAAAACTTCTTGATTTTATGTTCATTACACAGTTTTAAAACAAAATTGTAGTTAATTATGTCTAATGCACTGTTGTTCCAAACGTGACAACAAAAACTAAAAACATTTTTTCTATAGATTTTTATGAATGTGGTCAGAAAACTCTGAGCTACTTGCTTAGTAATCGGTTATCCTTGTCTATCATTTGCCGACTGTTAGAACTACATTTGGTTGCATCTACAACTACATAGAGGAGGAGCTGTTTAAGACCCTTTGTTAAAAACTTTTGCTTTAATCCGATCAAATTGTAGTTCGATCAAATAGTGCAATTTCGAGTCACTTACTAGCCGCTGGGGCAGTTTTCGAATGCCAGTTTGCAACAGTCCAAAAAAAATGTTTATTCAAAAGAACCGAAATTCTTTCAAGAATTGTTATCACATAATTGAAATAATTCGATACGAAATTTCTTCAAGTTGACTAATTTGATTTCAAAAAATGGCAAGCCGTGTATTCACTATGCGAACCATATCAATCTATAAAAGAAATGTAAGACGCGATACTAATCATACAAATTTAGCTCAATTCAACCCGTTCTAACACACTTTTGATGAGTATGTCAATTTGACAAGTATCTATGTATAAATTTAAAACTGAAAAAAATGGTTTAAACATTTTGTGTAGTACGCTTACATGTTCGACAATGTTTTTGGCAGTGTCGAACGCTCGCACATTCAGTACTGTTGAGCTTCGTCACTCTTGAACGCCATGATAACCGTTTCTTCGCATCTTCTTTCTGTGGACGCATCTTCTTTCTGTGATTTGTGAGATAATGAAACCACTCAGCAAGGACAAAAAGGAACAACCGTGCAATCCCCCATTCGATTTAGAGGATAAAAATCCGGTATTTAAGCTTGAGGTTATCAACATTTTTATGCGTAATCAATTTTCAAACTTCAAAAACAATATGAATCTCGAGGAAAAATTTACGGTAGGTCACTTAAGGGGGAAGGGGTTTTCCCGCTCCACCTGGACATTTCACAATAAAATTATCAATCACACTTTCGGATTGTTCAAAAACTTAGCATGGGGACTAATTAGGCTAAAAATAACTTTTTTGGTTGTGTATTTAACTTTATAAAAACTACTCTTACACCATTACAACAATCTTTTGTGAGGTGAAGAGAAAAAAAGCCGAAAAGATACCCTCTATATAAAATTTTGTTAATTAACCCGCCCCTATTTCTGGATTTGACTATCAGTTCTTTATTAAATAAGCAATAAAAAATAAACTATCAATTGGGTTGTTGCACTTTTGAATAAACTTAAGTACAAGCTGAGACAAAGTTCATCTCCATCACGACAATTGTAGAAATCAACCAACTTTGATGGCCACATTTTGAACAGCTTAAAATAGTTTCAGAATATTTATTTCTAAATAGTTAGTAAATATTCTGAAACTATTTTCAGCTATTCAAAATGTGGCAATCTAAGTTGGTTGATTTCTACAATTGTCGTGATGGAGATAGACTTTGTCTCAGCTTGTACTAAGTTTATTCTCTTTATCAGTGAGTAGGAACGCACGACACCGAAACAATGAATAGAGTTGTCTTGTCGCGATTGCGTTACGTTGCCTCTTTTTCTCCGTTTATATTTTCTTGAGGGATTTTTGTTTTTAAGCGAAATCCAAATTTCAAAAAGTATCAAGTTTTAAAAACTTTGACATTTGAAATTTAGGAAATTCGTCTTCGAGTGGTTTAGCATGTAAAATCAGGTATCACGAACAATCATCCGAAAGGGTCGAGTTATAGACCATATTAAAACTATTTCTTAAAAATATCCAAATTCCTAAAGTCAAGAAACACGGGTTTGAAAATACAGCTCCTCAAAATACAGCGCCTACTTTGAATGTTTTTAGATCAAAATATTTGCTCTGGAAATTTAGAACTATTTCCTGTCTTGTTTATTAAGTGCTTGTATAGAAAGGAGACAAAAACACAGCCTGAAATTTTTAGTAAACGCTAGTAAAATCGATAACCAAAAAAATATTGTCCTGAAAATTTCTCAAAACTGATATTTCTAAGCTTTGAAGTTTTTGTTTATTAGAGGCGAAGCTTCGCTTCGGAAATCTAGCGAGAACACGACCTAAAATTGCTCTATAAAAGACAGGAAAAAGTAGCAATAGGCCTAAAATTAGTAAAATTCGGCTAGGTCTCGGATTCGATCTGCGCCTTAGAAATTATGAGTCTCACGCACTAACCTCTCACACTTAACACATCACAAACACTAGCCGCCACAAATATAGCAGAAAAGATGCTTCGACATCTCCAATGCTAGATTATAGATTAATGCAAAACTGCCACCAAATAAGTGAACACTTTCTACTATCAATGAACACTTATTTGCGAGTTAGGTTTGAAAAAACGGCTGATCGCAAGTGTAAATATTGTTTGCTCTGCCCGCGTTTTACTCGAAGATTCATTCTTTTGTTTGCGAAGCGGTTTTTCGCAACGCCAAGAATGTTTTGAAGATATTTAAGATGCATGCAAGTAGATTAAGCGTCTGGAAAATGTTTGACCATTTGACGTCATTTGTGCTATTAAGTATTCCATCGCAAAAAGATACAACTAAAAACTTCATGAACAATTTTCTTCCCACTTCATTGTCAGAAAAATGGTATTTAACGAATTGAAGGATTTAATGCCAAGAGAATTAACTATTACTTTGCTGAAAATGTGAAATCTACGTACTGTCTCGTGAACTGCAACCGATTAATTAAGAAGCACTTCAACGAAGCTGCTTTGACATCAAGAGTCGGCCATGGCACTTTCACAGGAATCTTTTTTCAAGCTCATATTTGAAAACCAATAAAAAGTTAACATCTTTTCATCTTTGTTACTCAGAATGCTATAAAATTCAAATCTTGGTATTAACACAAGTTACTGCTTCAAATTTATTTGGTATTCGTCAAAGTTTTGCTTTAGCACTATAATTCGCATTAACTTATTGCACAATTCTCAAGTATGACTGTATCATAACTAAACATTAATAGGCAACTGATATAAAAAACACACTAAGGTAACACTTCGATAAATTGGAATGTGTCTTCGACTAAATTCCAAAACATCGAGTCAAATTTAGCACATTAAATCCAGTTACAAGGTTCAATAACAATTCAATTTAATTTCAATTAATCAAGCAGTCAATTATTTCAAGTACAGTTTTAAACTTCGCTGCTGCAAAAAAAAACTGATTAAAACCCTAAAAACTATAATTCAATGTTACAGCCTACAACAAAACTGTCGCATAGCAATCAATATCTCGTGACAATTTAACGACTTCCAAGTAGCGTATACATGAAATCCTCGAACTCAGTATTTCATTCAACTGTATTAATAAACCAAAGTATTTTTTTTTCTAATTCTAGAGCACTATGACTGTATTTCTATTTCAATTTTATTTGCATCATTGCACATCAATTTCTAATTCACGGGTAGGTATTTGTAAGTACCTAAGTATTCAAAAAAACAAACAATAGCGCCGAAAAACAACCAAAAAGTTCATTACATCTTTGAAGTTCAAAATATCTGATTCTTCGTCCACTCATCGGCAATCATCAAATTTTCACGCTGCTCTTCATCGCAACACAAAACTCACTTCTCCCCCATTTGGAGTTCCTCTTTGCAGGTAGGGATATCTAGAACAGTGATCCAGAGAATCAGTTGACACGTTTTGGAAAAGGAGGCAGGGCATAATTTTCTTGAAATATTCAAGTGAGGCGACAACCCTTAGCAACTGATAACAAGGATAGCCGATTACTGTGCAAGTAGCACAGAATTTTCCGACCAGTCTTAAAAAAATACAAATTTTTTCGAATTGTCGTTTTTTTTCTTCATGCTGTGATTAAAAGATCTGAAAGAACTTAGGCATATTTGAGATTCAGTAAAATACATCAATTAAACAATTTTTTTGGAAAAATGATGAGAAAAACGAAAAAACAAAAAATTTGAAACTCTTCCATAAAATTGCACTAAAAAACTCCACAAAAATTACCTTCACAAAAGTAAAACTATGTTTTCACGGCTTAAATTAATCTTAACTAAGCCATTGTGAGCCTTAGTGACCTTATTAGATCGAAATTAGACCAAAAATCAAAAATTTCAAACCGGTTTTTCTCAACTCTGAAAATATTCTAAATTTTTAAATTTCCGACCAAGCTCGTCAGTCATTCGAATCACGACTAAAAGGGCTTTTATATGATATATCAGTCGACCCATTTCGATGACTATTTGAGGTACCTGAAAAAAAACTAAAATACACCCGAAGACAAAGATCCTCCCCATTTTCAATGGTCGGAACAATAAGCAGCATTTGAAAAAGAGGCAACAGACATTTGGAGAAATGCACTTTCGAATTTCAAAAATATATATTACTTTAGTGCGCTTTGAATCAAAAGTGAGAAAACTCATCAAAATCATGCTGTTAAATCTATAACTCAAAAATTCACATTTAAATCATTCAAATTTTTTGTGTGATTTCCGGTTTTTTAACCGCAGAGCGTTATTTTCCTTCCTTTCAGCAAATAAACTGGAATTTAACTTCCATAAGTCTGTCCGCTAAAGATCAAATTAAACGTGAAGAAAACGAAAGAATTTCCAGAAAAATCATCACGACCTTTATAAGTGTCTTCACTACGTCCATTGACAGTGGAAAAGCATAAGGCGTCGCATTAATTTGCTATGATTTTCCTCGCTAGTCACGTTGTTATGCAAGCGGTTCCTTTTTTAATGCATTATGGAGCTACTAAGCAAAAAAGTGTCAATAATTAAGCTGAAATAAAACGTGGTAAGAACAAAGCCAACTGACAGTCGGAAAATATTAATGAGCGCAGAACAAAAAAATTGACCTATTGAATGAATAAACTTCAACTTTCGAATTTCAAAAAGAATAGATGACCTTCTAACTAGAAAAATTTATGATTGACATTTTTCTGATAAAAACCCAACTTGAGAAATTGGATCAAAAGGTTAAGCTGTTGATTCGCTGAGAAATCTGATTATTTTAATCCTTTTCGAAATGAAAGGTAGATCACGTTTTTCAAGAACGTTACACTTCCGCTGTTAAATCGTGGAGTTTGCCTTCCTTTTAAAAGAAATAAACTGAACTTAAGAAATCGAAAGTCAAACCGTGAAAATAAATTTGAGCCTGATTAAATTCTAAGACTTTTCCAGAACGAAAAATCATCGCGACCTGTGTAAGAGTCTGAACTTAGGCATGAACTCAGAAGTCAACATTCGTAAATTTGAGCGTGAACAAAAATTTTCCATCAAACAACAAAAACATACAATCTAAGTTATGTTTTTTTCTTGCTCTTTTTTGACGGACACCTCATAATGGTAGAAAATTGCCCTATTCCTCGAGTTTTTCAGTTCTACCGTAAAACACATATTTTGTGTCTGAAACAAGCAATCCCTCCAATCATAAAACCGTATGGCTAAATAACCGAATTGGTAATCTTGGTTGACATCATTAAAATTTGATATTTATTGTCAAAGAGTGTACCCATGTTTTCCATGGACACAAGCGAAGCTTCACTTCGTAACCACAAACAAAACGGCAACAGCATAATTGAGTCAAACAAAATGCCAACTTTCAAGCCTCAAAATTTAACAGAATAATTGCCAAGTTTCCATATTTAGTTCAATATGCCGATTAATTTTGAAAAGCTTTCAGAAAAAAATAAGCCACTTAATGAAATATTCTTTGATTTCGTTTGAAATTGGATTTCAGTTTCTCTCCTCCTCACCTGTACAACATGGTGTGAAGTGTTTCCGACTCCGAGAGGAACAGAGCAGGTTGGTTCTGACACCTCAACTGGAACTCCTCCACACTCAACGTGGACAACAGGTCCACTTTCCTCCCTCTGCTCTCCATGAAGATGGAGCCACTGTCCTGGAAGAACATCGCGTTCCGGTCTGAAACAACAAAATCAAATACTGGGCAGTTACGATAACTGATCCTGAGCCCTATTCGAATTATGAAAGCGTGCCAGTGGCGAAATTTGCCTGTCAGAATAAAAATTGTTAGGTCTTATTCAAAACGACAATTGCACTTGCCTAAAAAGAACCGAATGTTTCCTATCGAATAATTCCTATCGAAATATGCTGAACGTCCGCCGTTAAACCACAAGTAATTTACTAACCAGTCGAGTTTTTGGCCGCATACATCATCTTGGTCAAGTAGAACTTTGCACACAACACTCGCTTTACGACTGACAAGGGAGTTGTAGCAGGCAGACGCACCTTCAGTTGAAACGAGCTCTGCTCTTTCAATTTAGTCAGAGCCGACGGCGCCAAAGAAGCCTTAATGTTAATCACATTTCCGTTGTCGTTATAGTCAATTGTCTTGACTAGCTCCTCGCAACGATCCGAATCACGTTCACCATTCGCGCCTCGGTTGTTGTTATTGTTAAACCCGATAGGTCTAAGCACTGGAAATGGCGGATTTGAGACGTACGGCTTCGGTCCCTGGTAACCCGAGTTCTGGAAACTTCTATTCATACTGCCGTTATCATATCGGTTATTATCAAAACGCTTGTCATTTTCAAATCGGTTGTTATTGTAATAACCGTGTGAGTTAATACGCTGCGGTCCATGATCGTATCGTGGTCCATGATTAGGATATCCCCCGTTGAAATTATTTCTAGGCACTCGGTTGTTGAAGCTCATTTGGTTCGAGTATCCATTGTAATTACCGTTTTGTCTTTGGAAAGACCTTATAAAACCTCCAAGCGCGCCTGGAACATTGGATCCATGGTGCCAATTGTTGTATTGGTGCCCGTTATCTCGTCGATCACTACCATATCCGTTTCTGTCGTTTCGGTACCTGTGCGAACTGTTCGCCGAGTGAGGTCGACCTGTAACTTTAACTCGGATCTTCTTTTTCTTCGCCGCCGATGTCTCTTTCGTCGCAACCTCGTTGTCGTCTTTGTTTGTAGTCGTGTCGGTCAGCGGGGTGTCCGAGATATCCGACGTTCCTTCGATTCCACTTGAACCGCCTCCTCCCGAAGCGCCAGCTTGTTGATCTTTATCTTCAACTTCGGTTTCAGAAGCGTCCAATTTTTCTTCGACCAATTCATCTTCGTTTTTACTCTTGCTCACATGTTCTCCATTCGGCGCTTTGTTTTCAACATTTCCATTATCGGTCACGTGACTTTTCACAGCTTCTTGGGTAGTTTTCACGCTTTTCACATCTCCACCGCAATGCAGTTGTTCGCTTTGAAAAAATTTATTCTTTAAGTTCTCCAAATGATTGTCGTCGTTATTTGAGTTGTCAGTCTCTGGGAGAATATTTCCGTTCAAGTCGCATTTGTCATTGGGGGCAGATAGCGATTGCTGGTCGATCTCAGTAACAATGGAATCAGACATTATAACACTGAAAGACGGTAGTTTAATCGGTAATCTAATAACTATCAAAAAAATATCAGGAATATTTATGCGTTTTGGGAAACCTTCAAAAAATCTAAGCAAATTGTTTTTGTACGAAAAAGTAGGCAACAAAGAAACAAAAGTCAAAATTTTAATTTCGGTATTTGAAAAACGGAATGAAAAAAAGAACAATCAAATTAGTTTGACCGATTAGACTGGTATACTACATATAATTAGAAGCAAAAAGTTCGGACAGACAAAATTAATTAAAAAGAGCAATTGATCTCTTTTGGAAATATTTTGCAAGCAAAATCTAAGTTTTCAGTCCGATTTTGTGTCTCAAGGTTGTATGAAAAAAAAAATTGCATGCAAAAATCTGTCAAACTGGTACGATTGCTCTTTTTAATTAATAAGGTCTGTCCGAACTTTTTGCAACTCTCTATAATCTTTCAAAATTCTGGTCTGTCCGCACTTAATTAATTCGGTTAATTAATCAGCATAAAGCCTAGTAGAACTAAGATCTTAAAGTCGAATCTGATCTGAAAACAGCCCAGTAATTACTGATGAGGATATATTAAGCTAAAATCAACCTCTGGAATTTTAGGGGGGGCGAAATCATTGCCATAGTCATGTACCATTTAAAAGATATGGTTTAAGAAGCGTTGCTAATAATGGTTATAATATTATTATCACCTATAATATTATCATTTTATTATAACCCATCTGTTTCAGTTTCCACTACACGTAGACCTAAAAATTAGGGAGACACAACTCGTAGACCTTTTTTAGTCAAACCTTTGAAAAAAATAACTTGATTTCAGACTAACGAAAAAATCAACATCGAATTCTAGGCGTGTCTTACAGCAATAAATTTTTTTTTCATGTAATAATTGCCATGAAAAAAATAAAGATATTTATTCATGGCAATTATTACCAAATGTAGTGAAAACTTTCGGGCCTAAAGACACAGTAAAGACAGGAAACATCTTCCAAACCACGAAAAACTGATTTCGACCCCACAAATATCCTATTTTATAAGATGAAGACAGACCTATATTTTAAGTTAATCCAAGTTATTCGATTTTGTTCACCCACTTTAAGTTACTCCATAAGTAATGTTCTTTTTAAAACCTAACTTAATGGACCTCATTTCCTTCTGAATAAGACAATGGCGAGTCCCGAGGCACGTGGAAGTTACGGTAAATTAGCATCTGCTTTTTGTGCTTCAATTTAACATTCCATTCAACTTCTATCTAGCCCAAGATCACTTGGACAGGACCTCAAAACGCCTCTGGGAACAGGTTTCTTCAATGTCACATGTAGCAGAATCGGGATTAGACGAACGTCCTTGAGATAAAAAGAAATTCAAATTACAGCGACTTAACTTTATCAAAAAATGTTCTTGGAGTTGTGATAGCGAGCATAAAAAGGGCAAGAAATCTATCAAAAAAAGTTTTTGGTCTTTTAAACAAAAGTTTGTTTTTGAGATTTTGTGCTCTTCCGGGCTCAACGAGTTTCAAGAACATATTTTTTTAAACAGGAAAAACAGAAAGTTTATATGATTGTAGCAGTATTTCTGCTGTGATATAAGTGTGCTTGCATTTCACGCGTTTTCTGTTCATGTTTTCTGGAGTAGCTAAAATCATGAGAACAAAAAGGGCTTTAAAAACACTGACCATTACTTTTTAATCAAAGACAGTTGTACACAAAAGACAACTGCGGCGTTTTAAAATTAATCTTCCCAAGCGAGGTGAGGGAATTGTAATTGGCGTTGTTTTATTTACTATTTTAGCTGACGGTCAACTAGTCAAATCGCGCCTTCTTTGACTTACAAAATCCCGAGGGAACATTTTTGAAATTAGATTTACAAGTAAAGTCGATTTCTTCAGCTTTAATTCAATTCGCTTTGTTATAAATCGGCAAAAGCTCTTCGTTAGACAATCCCTTATTCCGGTAACCATCTTCATCCGTATAAAATTTCAAGTATTAAATTTCGATAGTCAGATTTCATCTCGTCTGCTGTTGATTAAAAGCTTTTTCTGAAGCATTTTGTTACTCATGACAATCGATGGCACAAAAAATTGAAATTGAACCTGCAATGTGAGTGAACAAAGTTCATTATTTTCGCAATTCTATTAATATTAACCAACTTCAACGTTATTTTCAGCCTCCTGTAAGTCATCGTCCAGTTTATACAAATTCGATTAAATTAATGATAGGTTAATGATAGGTTAAAAAACAACCATAAAGAACACATTAACACCAAAATCTCGAGTTATTTAAAAATTACGCGAGAACTACCAAGTCAATTGATGAGAAAGTTCTGTCAAATTGAGCTTCTTTTGTAGCCTAACAAAGGTTTAACAAATTTTCGTAAAAGCTTGCGCAAAACGTTGAAATGTTTCAAATCCTAGAAATGAAATTTTATATTGTAAAATGCCATTTTATTTATTTAAAATTTTTATATAATTGGACAGATTTTTAAAGCTTATACCCGTCTAGAAACTTGTTGCATTACATACAAAGCTCACTTTGACATAACTTGCTCATCAATTGACAAAGTACTTTTAGCGTGAACTTTGACTGGATCCAAAATAACACGCTTTAGGGGTAAAAAAATTGGTTCCGTTTTCTCAAAAGAAACTTTACCATAAAAACTGGTAAAACGATAACCCACTTTTCTCATAACTTTTGTCTGATTTCATCGTAAAATGAGAAAAATGAGTTTAAAAATTTCAACTAGTTTTTTTTTGTCCGGGTAATACATTTTAGCACCTTGCAAAATACCTCAGCAACTTACTTTTTTAGAAGGACTGAGTAGCACAAAATAAAATATAGGGAAATGAAGCTTTCCCTGTGGTACTTGATATTCAACAAACACAAAATGCAAGAGACAAAGTTAAAAATGCCTATGTACAAGAACCGAAAAACTTTGTTTCAGAACAAAATAGTTCAATTTGTATTAAAATAATTCTATATAAAATAAATCATTACACGTGGAAATTTCCTTTTGACAAAATTTATGAATTGAACATTAGAAAAAAAAGTCCAAACACGAAAGATCAAATTTTGCTGGAAAAAAAGAAACACCATCACGACCCATATAAGCGTCTTCACTACGTTCATTGTCACTTAATACTAAAAACAACCATTTTATATTGTTTTACCTCTGCAAAAATTGACAGGCATACTGTGCTGCTTGCTCTATTTATTAAAAGGAAATTGAATAACCGACACCGATCCCTTAGCATAACTGAACACCTAGCGGCAAAATTGAACGACCGTATCTTCTTCCCAATGGAAAATATTGCATGTGCATTACGAAGAAATTTAATTATAGACATTAGAACTAGATAAAAACCGCGAAATGAATCAAAATAAAATATCAGCAAAACTCGAATTAAGCAGCTGAAAAATTCAATTTTAATTTGATACGATGGTTGATTACGTCTTTTCAAAAACTGGACTGGATTATTACGTCCCTGAAAATAAAGATTTATTTGATCAACGGAATTTTATTTGTTCAACAGCTCGACAACCGTTCAATTGCTTATTTAAAATAATACCTCACCAACTTACTTTTTTAGAAGGACTGAGTAGCACAAAATAAAATATAGGGAAATGAAGCTTTCCCTGTGGTACTTGATATTCAACAAAAACAAAATGCAAGAGACAAAGTTAAAAATGCCTATATACAAGAACCGAAAAACTTTGTTTCAGAACAAAATAGTTCAATTTGTATTAAAATAATTCTATATAAAATAAATCATTACACGTGGAAATTTCCTTTTGACAAAATTTATGAATTGAACATTAGAAAAAAAGTCCAAACACGAAAGATCAAATTTTTCTGGAAAAAAAGAAACACCATCACGACCCATATAAGCGTCTTCACTACGTTCATTGTCACTTAATACTAAAAACAACCATTTTATATTGTTTTACCTCTGCAAAAATTGACAGGCATACTGTGCTGCTTGCTCTATTTATTAAAAGGAAATTGAATAACCGACACCGATCCCTTAGCATAACTGAACACCTAGCGGCAAAATTGAACGACCGTATCTTCTTCCCAATGGAAAATATTGCATGTGCATTACGAAGAAATTTAATTATAGACATTAGAACTAGATAAAAACCGCGAAATGAATCAAAATAAAATATCAGCAAAACTCGAATTAAGCAGCTGAAAAATTCAATTTTAATTTGATACGATGGTTGATTACGCCTTTTCAAAAACTGGACTGGATTATTACGTCCCTGAAAATAAAGATTTATTTGATCAACGGAATTTTATTTGTTCAACAGCTCGACAACCGTTCAATTGCTTATTTAAAATAATCAGTCTTCCCGCACCGAAAAAAGTGTTTTTGAACAATTTGAAACATAATTTCAATTTTAGAGATGAATTTGACGATCGCAAAAGGCTTCTTGATAAAAGCAACTTCTTACTTAAACAATTTATTCATGTAGATAAATTCCCTTTTAAGTCGAAAACTATGAAAATAATCATAAGTTGGACCCACTAAACGAACAATTTTCTTTAATGCTTTGTTTTCTAAGATGTCTTGAAGACTGAGATAACAGTAAGATCTTCTCAAGTCTTCCAACTTTTGGCAAGGGAGATGCATTTAAATTACCAACCAAACTGAAAATAAGCACGAAAACTTCACTTTCCGTGACCGCAAAACGATTACACAAAAACAAATTGCCGCTATACAAAAAACGAATACCATGACAGGAATGTAGCATTAAATATAATCAAAATATAATCAGTGATATCATCATCTCCATAAAACGATATTTTAGCAGCTTTGCCACAAGTTGAAAATTGATTTAAGAACATGACCGAAATATTAGAAGCCTAGGATAGGATCACTCTAGTATTATTAGGTCAATCCAACTTCACGCCCTCAAAATACAAAATAGATTTTTGTCTCCTATGAGAGCACACTATAGAGCTACATTACGCTGAATATTATCTGCCTTATCGATTCAAATCACCATTTCAGCAAGGATTTAACAGGATTAGGTGTTTTATTAACTTCTAAATTGGAAAAGTTACTGCTTCCTTCTTAATCAGCTAAGATTTACGTCATGACTTCTCCATGTCTTCTTATCTACATTACACTCCTGAAAACGCAACCTCAGATTTCAAATCGCTTACTCTTTTCCAGAGAAGCTCAATCAATATTCTGGCAAGCAACTTTCCTCTTTTTTTTCTAGAAACAAGATACCAAATAGTTTGAGCTGATCTAAAACGCGAAAAATCACTTTGCACAAAACGTATTTTAAAATTGTTTTTTTTTGTTGAGGTTATCGATTAATCATTCGCATGTATCTCACACTATTCAAATAGTAGAATAAAAAAATAAAATTCATCAAAGAGACTTCCTCCTAAATACTTCTGGCTACTAACTTGAGAAACTTCAACTTTCGACTAACAATCCCTAGCTAGACCCTCCCAACTTAAATCCATCATTTTTAATCTATCACAATTGTCAATTTTCAGCCAGCTAAAAGTCAAACCGAGGGGGATTACCCATTTTACCCAAGTCACCTCCCAATTCACGTAGAAAAGTTACTCCAAATTGAAATTCAAGTAGAAAAAACAGCCCCCATTTTATGGAGTGTAACCTAATTTAATGCACTGCTGATTTGAAGTTAATCTACAGAAACTAAGTTATCCCCATTTGATTCTCTCTCTTCTGGCGTTTATTATCGACCGTCTTTTGTTAACCCTAATTACAGGGAGAAACTCACTTCAGCAAGATCTAGAAATCAATAGACGATCTCAAATAGCTTTTTTCATAAATAAAAGTACTTAACGGCAATAGTTTGTCTGTTTGCTTGATTATTAAAATTTAGTGAGCTGAAAAATTTAATGAACTGAATGAGAGAAAACTTAGCAGAGCAACTAAAATATAATTGTGAAAGGGGTGAGTTACTTCTACTTTAATCGAAATAACAAGATTTTTCAAAAACTACAAAAAAGTATGGTCTTTTCTCAAGTTTTTATCAAGATATTCGATTACAAGAGACTTTAAAATACCTAGCTATCAGAACGGTTAGAAAATCTTAAGACAAAAAACACCATAAATACTTGACAAGAAAGTATGCAACGAGAGCTGATAATTAGTCGAAAAAATACTGCATCAAAAAATCTTGCCTAGCTCAAAAATTACACCGCAATATCTAAGGAAAAGATAGCCCTTGCAATGTCAAAAAGTGCACTATACATTCTGAAGAGCAAAAAAAAACAGCAAATTGTTCAAATTGCTTCAATTTCACTGGGAATGATTTTACGAGTAACCCGCTGCGTACGAGCTAGACAAAAAACCATAATGAATCATGCAAAAATTATTTCATTTGACACTTTTCTATTTTTTATATATTGATAACTATTAATCTAACCATATTCCATAAAGCCATTATAAATCGGGAAACTATCTTTACTCTTGAAACCAAAAATAAAGAGCATTTTCTGAGCAGATTTATAATTACAAGAAATGCGAGGCGCAAAAAATTAAAGATTTTACTTTAATTAAGAGCTTATACCTAATATTCAAAAATACTTGGAAAAACTTGAAACGTGAAATTTCACCTTCTTTGATAGAATAGAACAAAATTTTTAATTAATAAAACATCTTTTTGTCTCACGGCCAAGCCTGGAATATTTCGATTGACCCTTATGACGTTTTCCCTGCCTGATATTTTCGAGTTTTTTCGACACTTTTTTAAAAGTCATTTCACTTGCGGAATGTCTAGACTTACATTCGATTCGAGTTCTAATTGATGTAATTTGCATCTAGTGAAGAACCATTTGGACAATTTAACATGTTTCGATTCAATTTGGAATATTCTTGAGCGCTTGTTAGTTGCTGCAATCACGCTTATGCATAGAAACCACAGGAATAGAAGATAAAGTGCGCAAAAATTAGTACAATCTGATAATTTTAAGAAACTCATTTATGCAAAATTAGAGAAATAACAAGGATAGCCGGTAGCTGCGCAAATAGCACAAAAAAATGTTCCGACAACCTTCTCAAAACTAAATTTTTTTCAAGTTGGTGTCTTATCTGAAAGAACTATGAGAACACGTAGAAATTTAGTCAATTAGGCATGAGCCATTACAACTTTTTTTTCAATTTTTTGCACTAAAAATATCAAAGATTTTTGATTTTTTTTTACTATAGACGCGCAAAATGAATCTTATAAAACTATACGTTTTCTTTTTAGTAAAATCAGATTTTTGTTCAGCGTTAACTGTCAATTTTCATATATAATAAACGTTACTCGATCGTTTTACTCGCTCAAAAACAGACGAAAAACATTAAATTTCAAACCGAGTTTTCTCAATACTAGGAAAATTTTTGGGAATTTTTAAAAGTTTCTCGAATCACGACTGAAAGAGTTTCAATATGATATATAACTCAACCCAGTCCAATAATTCTTTGTGGTACCTGATATTGCGTGGAAAACAAATAAAACACCCGAATACCGTTCAGATTAATAACATACAGGCAACCAACGGTCGGAACAATATCATACAGGCACAAAATATCTTAAATTGAGAGCTCGAGGCGTAGATGTCCGCTAAAAATCATAACTTCGATTATCGAAATTGGTCTGAAGAATGACCTAACTGAGCTGAATTATTTCATCATGTGTTCAAATTATAAATACAAAAGCATAAAAAGTAGATTGAATGTTACGCCAATTTCAATGTCTGTTCAAAGTCCTAAAACTTAACGGAGTTTCAAAAGCAATAAATTGCCATCCGAGTTTCTTTTCGGTACAACACCCGTTTCATAAAAAGTTCTCTCAGTGTTGAGAAAGTTAATTCGTTTTTCAAATTAAATTATTCGAAATAATTCGACCTCAGATAATTCGTTTTAACTAAATAATTCGTTTTTCAGATTAAATTATACAAATTAATTCGACGAAATTATACGACCTCCCAACATTAATTCTACTAGAACTTAAACGCTATATTTCAAGTTCATTTAATTATAGTAACCCCTCTTTCTGCATTTTTCACCTTAATCAATCGCCCTTTGTAGAAAAAAACAACAGGAAGTAACAACAAAAAACTGCAAAACTAAAATTTATACTTCTCGATTTTTAACTTTTTTTCCAAATCAATTTCGACGGAAAATAGTGTGATACTCGCACAGCACGGATATCATTGCTATTTTCTGACTTTAGAAGAAAGCGAGGAATATATGCTTGGTGTTTTTATTCAGTCCAATTTTACAAAACTTGACTGCGTATAAGTATCGACCCGGGAATTTTTGGGTTAGCAATGCAAGTATGCTTGCCACTAGCCTAAATGCGATTGGAAGTGCTCAATTTTTATTTAAGTTCAACGCGAATCATCCCGCACTCAACATTGTTCCTATTGGCAGTCCAAAATTTGTAATTCATCATTTTTTATTTAAAATTATTCGAGACCAGCTAGCTAAGGGACAGTCTAAACGTTCAGGGCATTGCCCTGATATACGAGCAGTCTTGTTCTATGATTATAATGGAGTAATTTTGTTTTGATAATCGGTCAACATAAAATTGATCAAACGCGAGAATATCAAACAGTTTTTTTCTTCAGAAGTATAAATAACATTTCAAAAGGGCGTTGCAAACAAAGAAATGCGATAATTTTCGATCGCTACGGAGAAGGCTTATTTATTTCAGAGATATCTCGGACCACTTGGAAATCTGATTAAATTAATTAATTCCTCCTTCTTGAAAAAATATAGTAATTACCAGTATCATGCTTTACCGTTGGGATTGAAATAAAAAAGAGTTAGGTTTCCTACACAAACAAACATATTCACTTGATTTCGTTATGTTTACGCCAGAGCCACTTATGTAAACAAACGTTGTCGTAAAACACCCCGAGGAGCCATGCAATTAGATCCCACAAAAATGCAGCACATGCTAAACTGAATTTGGTGAGAAGTGTTGAACAGAATTTACACCAGCCCCCAGATAAAAGGCAAACAGATTAGAAGGGAAAATTCACTTTTCATACAGTAGAAATTCTCATTTACAGAAAACACCATTTGCGAATTCGCCCCAATCGTAAAAAAATTTTTCCTGATAAGATTTAATCTGGATTGACGCTTATGCATCAATTGCTGAATTTTCGTTTCATGCTATTCAAAGTAAATATGCGACAAAAATTAATTTGGAAAAATTAGCGAGGATTCCTAAGAAAAAGGTGAATTTACTAATTTTACAAGGAACCAAAATTAGTTTTTGTTGTACCAGTGAAAATGGGGAGTAATTTGGTATTCGGCAAAATTTTGAAAAAACAGGTCAAAAAAGACGTTTTTGGCCACTTTTTGGAAAAATTGGACAAAAAACTGCGTTTTTTCGGCGCGCGCTCCTTCCTCAAAATTAGTATATATTGGCGCCGAAGACGCCTTTAGAAAACTTTTGGGGTCCGTCACCAAAAATGGATATTTCAAAATAATACAAAGAGGAGACCCTTTGGGTCGGCAGGGGGTCGAATCCCTGAGGGAGGGAGGGCGTATGCCCTCCCCCCTAAATCCGCCTCTGCTTCAATTAATTTAGTTTTCGAAGTTTTTTCTAGCGCCATTTTCAGAGATTTTTTTGAAACAATCAACAACGTTCCAAAAACCAGATTAAGTTTTTTATTGTTTTTTTTTTAAATTCATTGTTTGAGGAAGACTGTCCTATGTTTTTGTACGAATAAGCCTAATTTACTTTTAATATTGATTACGCACATGTTCTAGGCTTTGCTCAGATCCTCTCATCGCATCACGAATAAAAAACAAATTTTGGAAAAAGAAACAGTTTTTTTTTTATTATTATTGTGCTGGGAACTTTCTGTGCAATTCGCACACCGACCGGCTATCACTTATTTAGTAATTTACAAATTTGAGATGCCTTTTCAAAAAAAAACAACTGAAATTTTTCACTGAGAAAGAGGCTTTTCAACTGTAAACTTCAAAGTGCTTTAAGGAAGGATCTTATATATTAAAGTCTATAAGTTGAAACGGACAAGGGCGCATGTTTATTTGGGTGCAAACGTTCCGCCCGACTAGAGTTTTATCCCTAGCAGCTAAATTGGTCTAGATCTTGTTTACGCCATAACTATTTCATCCAATTCGCTACTTCTTGTTGGCTTTGATGACTGAACATTCTTAACATAGATATTATTATTATTATTATTTTCAGACCAACACCGCCATTCAGACAAAGATACAGAAATAATTGAACCTGTTTTGTCTTCAAAAACAATCTCTATAAATCATTACTTCAAAGAAAGAAAGCTTAAGCTTTCCACAGAATAAAAAATAACGATTCACTTCCTATTACAGTCACGTGTTACCTATAAAGGTTTAAAAAAAGAAACAATTTTGCTCGTTATATATAAAAAGAATTAGAATTATTTATTTTTCGGGAAAAACTTTGAAAGGGTCAATTATCCCTTGTTGGATTAATCACTTGATTCAGTCGTTTCGTTGACATTAGAGACTTCATCCAGCCGTCAACTAGTAACAAAAAGAAGGAATTCCGACTGACTTATCCATAAACATCATTATACAAGAACATCTTTACTTTTATCATTGCGATCTGGAAAGAAAATTAAAGAATTACACGGGATAATATGAAAAAAAGCAAGACAGGAAAAGACAAAATACCCAAAACTGTTTCCCTCAATGACATGAAAAATGCAACTGCTGTCTTGTCTTCCGGCGCTGCAAAGGTTAGTACTCAAAATACATTTAAGTAAATTCCATAAAATTCTGCATTGAAATCCAAATATATTGTCCCATGCCAAACAACCAACACAGATAGGCATATATGAGTTTTGTTCTCAAAAAAGTTCAAGCACACACAAATTTATTCTGACAGTTTTCTGGAGAAGCTAGATTTTAACAAAGATGGCAAAAAATACCGACATTCAAGTATTTACTTTCCGAGAAAAATGTGATTTGTTAGATAAACTACTTAGCTTGCTTCCGACAATCATTATCAGTGTTTGAATTGCTATATCAAACCAACCCTAGCCAATAGTAATAAAAAGGTCAAACAACAATCATTACAAAAAAATCTCAACTGAAAAATCAAGAATGTATCTCCTTTCCAATGATCGAAAATTATCTTTGCTGCTTCAGGAGTTTTGCCGTATCTTGACTTGCAGTGAGTTCGCGGTGAATGACGAAGATGGGGAGGACCCGCCATCTGAGTCAGTGTTGGTATCCATCGCCGGAGAAGCAGCACAGGTAAATCAACGACATACATTTACTTGATGCTCGCTACAAAACGTGAGCTTGGAGACAAAATATTAACAAAAAGAGAAAGTTTAGCAAAAAATACATATTGAAAATGTATCATTAAGCGGCTCAGAGAGGCCAGTAAAAATGATAGTTGATCTAAAAGACGAGTCAACAGACAGCTTATAACGCCAAACACAACACTTTGGGCAAGTTTTACACTACGAAGTATAATGGTCAAAATAAAATAAATAACTTGAACAAGGATAACCGATTGCTGAGCAAGTAGCACAGAATGTTACGACCATAATCTTACACACAGGGGCGAAGCGGAGCTTCGCTCCACTTGCGATACAACACAAAAATTAAAAAAAAACATAAGACGAAAAATTTGAAATTTTGAAAAAAAAACTAGGTCATATAAGCTTTCATGGGTCTCGACAGCAGTTCATTCCATGCAAACATGCCAGACAACTTGATTTTCAAACAGCAACAACGGAACAAAATTTACGAAAAGAAACAAAGCCGACAATCTTTGTGCAGACACAAGTTGAGCCGAAAAAAAAAGATTTTACAAATAAAGTCCCACCTTAAACAACAATGGACAACAGTTGCACTTGCAATTACAATGAAAGTTGTTTACAGCAAAGAAAAATCAGTGATGTGGCAACTAAGCCGACAATCTTTCAGCAGACAACAACTGAACCGAAAAACGATTTTATGATTTTTAAAATTTACTTCAAGTCTCCCCTGAAACTAGAACGAACAACACTTGCACTTGCAACTACAATGAAAATCGTCCACAGTACAAGCAAAATCAGTTATGACAATTTAGCCGACAAAACTTAAGCGAACAAACAGAAAACCAACAATTCATTTTTCCAGCAATAATTCATGCTCCTCAAACTAAATTCAATTCCTTCATTAATAACAGATAAAAATGAAATTTAGGTCAAAAAACAATAATGATCCAAACAAAACTTGGCTAAAAATCTTGGAACTAACGGAAGTGTATGACCGTAAGAAAAAAACGGATTTCTCAAAAAGCATTATCAAAGGTTTGCTATTAACTAAAACAAAATCAAATAACAAAACTGAAAATCATAGAATACCAAACTGTAAAACTATTGCCACAGAAAAGAATTTCTAGAAAACCTAAAAAAACCCTGAAATGAAATTACTATACTACCTAGAGACTGTATTACTATTAGGAAATCATTAAGTTAATACGCAATGGTAAAAGAGCTGAATCGCAACAAAAAATAGATAACAATACAAGACGACGCCGAATAGAAAAAAAAAACATTTCAAAAAATTTCAGCCAGAAACTACCGCAATCTTGCATCCATCTTGTGCATTACTCGCCAAGTACCTTAATAGACCAAAAAAGCTAGTCAAATTGCAACCAAAAACTTTCCGGGAATTAAGCTTTGTTTGAAACACTTTTAGTTTTTAAAATATTGCCTGAACCTATTCATGACGCCAAGATGCTGGAAAGCAAAAAAATAAATCAGAAAACAGACACCGAAAAAACCAACTTTTTACTAATGCAATTTTTTTTTCAAAAACCACTTCAAACTTTGTCTTTTCAAACAGAAATTTGCTTTTCAAAAAAATCGTTTGCGTGTATGAAAACAAAACACCCATAAATGTAATGCACTGCTTTTATTAATTAACCCGCATGGTTTCTAGATGTTATTGAATGGTATTAACTGGAGTTGATTTAGCAGTATCTCAATACGGACGCATGGGCCCCGACAGCATGGATTCTATCTCTATCACTTTCTCAGCTGTTTGAATTTAACTTTGGTTAGTAAACTTTTTTTTTTTTTTTTTTTTTTTTTTTTTTTTTGGTTAGTAAACTTTATTACTTTCAGCTAGCTCGATATTCAATATTATGTCCCAACTAATAACTCACTATTTACTTTTAATAAACACTAACTTGTTCAACTGCATGCTTGGGATTTTAACATTAATAATTTATGACATCAATTTCTAATATAGCACTTATTTCATGGCTATCAATAGCGTGCCATTTATGGGTACGCTACACTTACACTGTCGAATTATTTCCTGGCGACTGTTATTAGCATCGGGGTTACAATTTAAATACAGTATCTACATAAAATTTGGTGAGTTTCTAACTTCAAACTGTAGTAATTTCATTTAGTTGCATTTCAAAGGGAAACTGCAATGTTAAAAGCATAATAAATTTTAGGAACGAATTAAAAGTTATACGGTATAATTCAATTTCAATAATTTTAAATCAATTTAACTGAATAAATTTTCTATAAATTTACTTTTATAAATGGGTAAATAACAAACTAAACCGGCTTTAAATTAGGTTAGGCACAGGGTTAAAGCTGGTTGATGTACACCAAATGTGCATAAAATAAAGGTTTTAAACTATATACACTCAAATGGATTGGTTCTGTTATCAAATTTACATACACGAATTGTGTATTAAAGAAATTTTAACTTCACAAATGTATAAAATTAAGGTTAAACAGGTAAGTTTAAATTAGAACTTGAGTTCAGGGAAAATAAATAGTGCTGCTAGCACTTATGAGATTCAGGTTACAATTAAGCCACCACTTGAGTCATAGAATCAATGTTTGGGAACGTCATGGTCAATTAAATGATATAATCAGTGTCAGTAATGAAAGATGAAATGGCAACTTATTCGCATCTCAGTCTTCCTATACTTCAGGTCGTCTCCTCGTTGTATTGAGCTCCTATTTGGATAGAAGGAGGTTTCACACCTAAGATTCCTGTATTAGGAGTCAGTTTCATTCCTCCGCTGTAGTTTCGTGAAGTCTTTCCTTGGTGTGATGTCGTTGAGATTTCGCCCATTGATCTCGTTCTATTCATGTCTATTCTGCTTCCCTGCATTGATAGTGTCTCGTCGTTTAGTACTGCATCCTCCATCTGTCTGTGATGTTGTGGTACTGCAATCGTGTCGTCAATTACGTCTAGAATCGTGTATTTATTCTGCCATTCCGCTCGTGTTTCCATAAGTCTAGCTGTTTTTTCATCTCTGTCGCGTTCATCAATGTCCATTGCGACTACTGGCTTTATTCGTATATCTCCATAAGCGGTCTTTAGAAATTGTGGGGTTATGTCTCGAACTGCTTTGAATCGATGAAAAAGATAAGTGCACAAACACTGGAGTAGTGTGCTTCCGATGAAAACTATGACGGTCAGTGTCAGTGAAAGTTTTATTGGTACATAGCTTTCGAGTTTCTCTGTTAAGGTTGGTTTCAAAAGTTTCATTCCGTCGGCGATTGGTTTTGAAATCTCGTCCAATTGTTCCATGTTCGTGACTATTGGGCTGTCAATAAGTTTTATTTTCACTTGTTCCAAAAGTCTAATTCCGGCGTCCGTTTTTGATTCGAAGTATGGTAACTCATTAATTTCCGGAATTGTAGAGAGTAGGTGTTCCAATGGATCAGACAGTGTGACATTGATTCGTCTTGCTGGAATTTTGTCACAACTTTCCAGATCTGGTCTGATCTTGATATTTCTAGTTGTTAATTGCGTCCTGCAATCCAAAGTAATGATGCAAATGTTGCATCCTGAATGCTCTCTGCGGGATGGAGTATGAACCTCATGCAGGTTGTACTCCCACAAAGAGAATGACGAAGAGGCTGATGTGATTAGCCAGATACCGTATCCCAAATTCGTGGCTCGTTCCGGCGTAGGCAGAATGACTTTTTCCGTCTCACAGACCGTCAAGGCTGCTACAGGGTTTGGCCAGAATAAGTTAGATAGACAAGAGGATCTGCTCATCTGTGTCTGCATGGTTTGATGACAGATCCTATACCTTGATGAACCGAGGCATTTCTCATACTGCTCTCGTGTGAGCACTGAGGTTTCCATTCCGTTCTCAGAGACTGCGAAGTAGTCTCCCTCGGTCTTCCATCTGATTGCATCCTTCTGTCCCGGCTGTGGCATCGGGATTAAATGAGCTCGATAAACCGAAAAGACAGTTAGACTGGACGACATCGGTATCGCTAGTGTCATTAGCAGGCCTTCATCAACTGTTACAACATCTCGAAGCAGTTTTGCGTCATAGTACGAGTGAAGCTCGGTTGTTGGGATGGCTAGAGTCAGTCTGTCCGTTGCGTCTTTTTGGCTGTCGTAAACTGAATTCAGGATTGCTATCAGAGAGTCTCTGGGGACCAATGACATCGTGAGTCTCTTGTCTAAAAGCGTAGGGATGGCATTCATAATGTTCGTCTTAAAAGCGTACAGCGCTGCCCTGTAACTCTTGACATCTGAGTACAGAAGAGAGAGGAGAGAGGCTGCAGTATCAAAATTGAAATTCAATTGTTGATTCGAGAACAGGTACTGATCACAATCGCGCAAGATTTCGAAGTTGTGCTGTATGACCTTAAACTGGTCTTCGATCACTTTCCAATTTTCCTGCTGATTTTGGATCATTTCCTGCTGGATGGCATTAACTTCCGCGAGTTTGTCAGCAACCAGAAAGAATTTTTCATTGACCTGTTCTTCAAATTCGACTACGTGGTCTGTCAGTCGAGTAGTGAACTCATGTAGTTCCTTGATGTTCTGTGCATTGGCGCGGCTGTTGTCTTGACAAGTGCCAAAGATTCCCAATAGTCCGCAACTTGATGAATCGTCCATGAAGATTCCTGGTCCGAAAAGTCCGATTCCTGCGATGGCGGCAAGTTTTGACATTATTCCTCGTCTTTTTCGTGATTGATCTTCGTCATTTTCGTTGAATAGGAAATGAGAGGTCTCAACTTTGATAGTCGAAACTTCTTTTTGTGCTAGTTGTATTTCAACCTGGAGCTTTCGGAGCATCCAGTCGACATTGAAAGAATCAACACTGGCGTTGAATGTCTTCGCGAAACTGAGTTTACAATCTGTTGATTTGGATTTCCATTTCGTTGACAAGATGGAAAGAAGTTGCGTTACATTATCTTGGATCGTGAAATTGTAACTTGGGAATGGAATTAGGAATTCTGCGTTGATAAACTTTTCGG